GCTTTAGCTACCGTTCTCTCGCGAAAAACACTCATACGTATATGCACACAGTGATTTACAGACAGACATACGCTACAAAAAGTCATTGATTGCTAGCAGTATGAACTTCGTTAGCCTGTATAAATCCATAAATTAGCTGCATCGTTGTATAAGCCGCAGAATTCATAGCGTGTGGAAAAAAGTAGCTGCTTATTGTCCGGAAATTACGGTAAGTTCAGACTCTGTGAGAAAAACCTATTTCATCAGCCGTTCAAAACTCTAGGCGACAAGACAGCGATTAAACAAGATTTACAACTTTCCCCCGACATACAGCGTTTCGTGGTTACTTCGCCATCGCCCATACATTTATTAAGAAAGTCTTGTTCCCTTATTCTGATGTACTGTGCTAAAACAACAACAACAGGAACTAGTCGGCGTGTGGATGAAAACGTCGACATGCAGTACCAAATGCGGAACATCGGACTTACGACGAAAATCGAGTCAAATCACGCCCTATGAACAGAATGTCGATCCAAGTTGAGCGCGTCCTGTATACACTGTATAATTGGGTTTTTAGTGTTTTAGTGTCTATAACAGAACGCCCCGGAACCGGGGTTAATAACTAAAGTAGTCAAAGTTAGGACTCAAACTGAATGCCCTTTTGTCTTAAATACAACGCCTGATGAATCATCTAAACTCTTTATTTATTTATTTATTTATTTTTTCCCCGCAGACCTTTGGATGCTTTGCATTGACTGAACTGAGTCACGGTTCCAACACCAGAGCCATGAGGACCACAGCCACATACGACCCTTCGACACAGGTCGGCACACATGCAACTTACTGTACAGTATGTCACACCACAAGTGATTTGAGTCGTAGAAAGTTTGTCACAGTTTTGTTGTTGCTCTTGAATGTACTTTAAGAGTCAGCGACACTACAGTGCACCATTAACTGAGCAATTGGTTGAAGTTGAAGTTGACTTCACTACATACTCATCAGTGACATACGTAGTAGGCTGTCTATGACAGTGGTGTTAAATTGTCCAAAATCCAAATCGCAGGCCGACCAAATTTGTATTTATTTTATAGATGCAATTGTCCTGCGGGCCTTGTCTACAATTGTCTACTATTGTCTATTTACCTATGTTGTTTATTACAATTATATATAAGTGGTTCCCAAAGTTTTGGGTAGTGGAACAGCTATTTCTTTTCATAATTTTTTTTTTTTTTTTTTTGCAGTTTTTTGTGTTATTTTGTTTCATTTAGGGTTGCCTGAAATGTCTAGTTATTAAGAAAATAATTATTGATAAAAAAATTTTTTTTCAACAAATTATTATTTTTAAATGGTTTATGATTTAAAAACACCACAATTGGAATTAAAAAGCTGTATAATTTAACTTTCATGAGTATAAAAAAAGTTTAAATAAAATGCAGTGAAAAAGAAAATTTGAAAGCGTGACTGAAACAAAATGTCTGCTATAGTCCATGAATAATGCCCATCATTTAGAATTACATGTTTAAAAAAAAAAGTGTGTTTCTCTGTGTTTACTGTCACTTTTATGTTTACAGGAGTTTGTGATTAATACTCCAGACATCGAGGCTACCAAGTTTTGGGTGGGAAACCTGGGCAAAAATGCAACCCATGCTTTAGTATTTGCTCAGCTCTATACAGATGACAATGTGTGCCATGGGCTGCACACTTTTATTGTCCCGGTAAGAACAGTAATGCCTGCCTTGATCTTTAAAAAGATTTTTTATCACTCATTTAACACATGTATAAAAGTGGCATTTCCTATGATTGCTATTCAATTTAAGAAGGAGTCAGAAAAGTATTGATTGAATCTCTATATCGCGGTTCTCCTTTCGCTCCCTACAATGCACTTTTTTTTTTTTGTATTCCAATCTTGCCAGAGTTTCGCTATATCGCGGTATTTTTTACGGGGTTTTTTTCCCAATATTTTCATTATTTTCATGATATAAAAAAAGAGGAGAGAAGATCGAACACAGCATTGAGCATGCCCTTCTGTTCCTCACACTGATTGGCTCATCCGTCGTCTCCTCTCTCAGCATCTCCCCTTGTCTGTCCGCCACTACTGGACGTTGCTGTAAAGTTTGTGCTCTTGTGTTTGGTGAAAGTTGACCCTAATTTAACGCCCTACGATTCCCTTCTAATCGCGGTTCTCCTTTCGCTCCCTACAACGCACATTTTTTTTTGTATTCCAATCTTGAGTTTCGCTATATCGCGGTATTTTCTACGGAAATAAACGCTCCGATCATCTTCTCAGGCTTCTGTTACGAAGCCCAAACAAAGACGCTGACACAGATGACTGGTTAACAGTCTTTATTTTTTTCTTTACAATAATGTGTGTGCCCCTGCGCTGTGCCCGGCTTTTATATACGGTCCGTCCATCTCCTACTCCTCCTCCTAATAAAAGGAGAAGGGCTGCACCTGCACTGCCCTTGCCGTGCTCTCCCTCCTGCAGCTGAGCGCTAACCTCCGCCACGTCGTGTACTTAATTTATTTACTATAATATGTTCTATATTTCCATTCTACAACTCTACTGTGTATGTAATTGTGTAATACAGTCTAGGGAGGGTTGGTAACAGTGTTGGGAAGGTTCGGGTAAATATATATAAAATATATATATACGTAAATATATATACGTAAATAATGTAATAACTATCTCGCCCCTACTTTGCGGATTTTCCCGTTTCGCAGTGGGTCTCGGAATGCAACTACTGCGATAGGAGCGGGGACCACTGTACTTTAATAACGTACACATTCTCGCTACGCTAATTTAAAATTTCCGTGGTACAGGGGATCCTCAGTGTATGTCGGAATTCCATTCCTACTGCGAACTTGATTTTCACCATAAGTAGGAACTCGCATGCTGTACATAAATAAACGGGAGCCATATAGAAGGGCAAAAAGTTCCCCCCAAAAAAACAATGCAAACAACAGAAGGCGAATGTAGCGTACATCGGCTCATGTTTTGTTTCCTTTCATAAAGTGTTATCATATCACATTATTTTATAGTCAGTATTGTATGGTGTACAACCAGCTAATGTAAACAAAGCTTTATTCTGCATATAGTGGCCCCGTATTTGTCCACTCCGCTGACCAATTAGTTCCTGTGCGAAATGTGTTTGCGCCGTGTATCAGAATGATGGAACAAGACTTTTCTTAATAAGTGTATGGGAGATCGGGCCATGACCTCCTAACGCCGTAAGCTGAGACAAAGCAATTTTGTTGATTTGACCAGCAACAATACAATCACATGTTATATTTAAGACTGATTTAAGATCTGTAACTGTGCTGCAGGTGCGAGATCCGAAGACCTTGTTGGCTTTGCCTGGTGTCATGACTGGTGACATTGGCAAAAAATTGGGTCAGAATGGACTGGATAA